TCTGGAGCGGTATTGTACAACGCGCGCCCATACGAAGTCAACCGCAACCATTCTTGGAGCGGGATTGCACACCGTGCGCGTAAACGACGTCGAAAGTCATTCTGAAACGAGCGCCTTGCGCTACAATGAACCGAGGGAGCTTTACAACCGCGTGACGCTGACGAGGCGACTGCATGAGTTCAAGATGGACGTCATTACTGGGAAGGTCAAGCCTCCAGATCGGCCCGACGAGCTGTTGTTTGGGATGCAGGTGATGCAGGAGTCCATGGTTGACGCTCGACAGATTTTTATATCGATAAGCCTTCATTTACAGCGGAGTACGACGATATCGCATCAATTGTGGAGAACTTCGCGAGGACGTGAGGATTGCCGAGGTAAAAAGGGAAGCTCCTGGAGAAATGCGATCAACTTGAGAAGAAGTGAAGTCGGAGCGCGCTTTCAAGTGGAATGAGGGACGGTTCAAAGAATCCAACGCAACGGCCGCAACGCAAAATGTTCTCAGAGAAACGTAAATGGACGTAAGGGTAAGCGCTGATAGTGTATCCAAGCACGCCAAATATTGTAATACTGTAAGAAGCGTAAAGTCACCAAGAAAGACAACACCGTGTAAGCTGCAGGTGGAGTAAGACGGGTTTGACCAGCAAATCGTGATTAGTGCTACGTCACGCGTATTACCTCATTGAAGGGATCCCCGTGAGTACATGGTGCTGCACGCAAACCCGAAGGTCATCATCGCGGACGTCATGAGGATGCAAGTGAGTAGAAAAGGGTAGGTCTAGCTGACTAGGTCGTACGGATGCGGAAGAGAATCATCGAGATTCTTTCCATACAAGACTTCGATATGCGCCTAATGTCGGCTGGAACACTAGCAGAACGTGGCATAAAGATGGAGCTTGGGGCACCTTTCTGTGTTAGTTTTAGTGCCAAACGTGCGATTGCCAAAAGCAAGGAAATCGGCAGAGCGTACGTCCTGGGCTACGATTAAGTACTGGCTCGGTTCGTGGATAACGCCGGGGTCAATATCGAGTGAGAAATGTGGCATGCTCGCATTGGACACTCAAGGACAACAGCTCACCAAGACAAAAACTGCTACATACAAGCGGAATGCCGGCGGTGAAGCTGGAATTGAGAAGCTGTGTGTCAGGTGCACAAAATGACATATTGTGGCCGTCACAGTCGCTAACGAAGGCATCAAGCGTGTTGAGATTTGTATACACGGGCGTGATCTATCCGACTGATGAATTTGGTCTCGAAGGGCGTAGCAAGATATGTGTCGACGTATGTGGACGATTTATCGCTGCGGTGGCGATCTTCATGTAACACAAGAGAGAGATAGCTCTTTGAATGGGTGAGCTCAAGGCGTTACACGCATATAAGGAGGAAAAATTGAGGTGTCAGCTATCAGGTAACAAACGGAGTTCTCTTGAAAGATGGTCGCTGAAATATGCTTAAATGGTGGTATCATGCATCAGCGCACGCAGCCGTACAGCCCGCTACAGAATGGTTTTGCGGGTACGATGAGCTGCACGATAATGGAAAAGACTTGAAGATGCTGCAGCGCAAGAGTATGTCTACTGATTGGTGGGTCGAAGCAATCTGCGTGGTGGTGTACCTCATCACCGGTTCACTAACTCTTCAATCGGATGCCACGCCATATGAGTAATGATTCAAGCAGGATATGAAATTATAGCACTTAAGCTTTTCTATGTTTCTCAAGGGCAAGCTAATGTTGGCGACTCCAGAAGGATGAATCCCGACCCACACGGTCTCCACTGCGTGTTTCTTGTTGACGCAGAGAACGTTAAAGGGTATTATGTTTTCCAATCAGAGCGTACAAGTGTCAATGTTGCATATTCGATCCGACTTAACGAGCGTATAGGATTCGGCATCTGCAACGGAATTACGAAAGCAAGTGACTTATACGAACATAACCAAAGAAGGATACGAAACGATCGAGATCGATGAGCAACAGCAACGTGCTGCAGAGGTTTATGTAAAAGGCATTGAAATCGATGCTCCTGACGTGGAGACTGAGTGGAGCTGAACCGACGCGAGATGGTATTTTTACTAATTTCTCCCATAATTTCATCACTGCAACTACAGGTTTGGAGCTAGATTCTTTGCATTGTTCTCCTCTTGTGCCCGACAAGGCCATAATAGTGTGTCAAGCGAAGTCAGAACTACCGCGACGGTAGCATAAACGTGTCTTCTCTCGATTATACCTTTAACGATGACGAAGAATAAGAGAAAGGGAAAAATGAAGGTCCATTGATTGCAAACTGTTTCAGGATCGACGAAGAAGGACTAGTTGCTGAAGCAGTGTTGATTTCGCTGCTGATGTTTAGAAGACGAGAGGTGCACCCACCATATATCAGCAGGCAATAAGCAGAGATGATGGTCTTCAGTGGGTGAAGAAGATGAAACTAGAGTTCAAGACACACGTAAAGAATGGTTATGGACCTCACATCCAAGAAAAAAAGGTTTGGCCTATCGGACGCAGATGCGTGTTTCCAATGAAGCACAATGAGCGCGGACAAGTGGTACGCTACAGCTCTCGGCTTATTGTGAAAATGTGAAGAGGAGAAGGTTGGTGTTGCTTCTTATAAGACCTGCTCGCCAGTGGCTTACACGGACTTTACTAGGGTCCAGTTCTCCTTATCGGCCTCGAAGGGATCCTGAGTGAACAGCTGGCTGTCATGGAAGCGCCTCACGCTATTACTAGTGCTGAAAACATGATGTGCAAGCTGGACGAATGGATCAACGACACCAGGCAGATTGCGCGCGCATGGAGCAGGCCGATTCATGCTGTATTTCTGCAAGTGAGATTCAAAGCAGCGGAAAAGGTCAGTTCGTCTACGTCAAGGGTAAGAATGGCAATGATGTCTACTTGTGTCCATACATCGACGACATGATCATCGCTGCCAGAAGAGAAAGAAAACACAAGATATGACAGCGACACTCGAGGACTCGTTTAATAAAAAGGTGTTGAGAAAGGCTGAGTTTCTCTTGGTATGGACACCGATTATGACCGCACGACAGCACGCTGGTAGTTCGATAGACTCGTTACATTGACGATGGGATGGACAGGTCCAATCAAAAGGACGCATACGCAGTGGGTAATCGATGTGAATCGAGCGTGGTGTGTATGATATGCAATTGTCAACGACGGATAGGAAGAGAGAAATAGTGCAGTCGCAGCTGTGCAGGCCTCGATCGGATGTTGATGTACATCACAACATGTACGCGTTCTGAAGTGGTGTCTGTACTCACTCCTCTAGCGCGTGCTTCGGAATTCTGGTCGTTTGTGTCGGAAGGCTACAATTCGTATACTCTGCTGCCTCAAGACGACAAGGGACTACGGGACCACTTGCGGTGGCAGTGCCAGACAAGCAAAAACTACAGCATACACGGATGAGGACTGAAGCAGTAGTATCGACGACCGATGCTTTTTCTCGGGCCCAACAATGGTGATAATTGGTGGCGCGTTAGCCTTTCTTAAGCTTACATGTCAGCTTACGGCGGCTTTGAGCTCGAAGGAGGCGAAGGAGGCGAAGTAGGTGGCTCAAGTGTATGTGATTGAGAAGTACTATGCGTCCGTGCGATGCTCAAGGGTCTCGGTCATGAGCAAGCGGGAGCCATGTTGGTCTAGGAATTTATAGAAGGCGAAACGGACTTGACATCAATGCTACCTACGATGCCAGGACCAGGCACGTCGACATTTGTCATCACTATTTTCTTCACCAGGGGAAAACGTGGCCCGAGACATCATCGTGGTGAAGTACGTATCGACAGTGAGCTAGTTGGTAGACATACTGATGAAGGCTCTGTGCATCAAGCGATTCTAGTAGGTGCTGATGGCCAATGGCTTCGGACCAACGTGCGTACATCAGCAGCGGTGAGTGGGAGTGTCACCGATAAAGCTGCAGTTGCACCTCTTCGTAGATAGGGCACGTCATACACGACAGGATGAACCTCCACGTCGATCGATGGATTGACGGCGAGAGATTCCTGATAGATGGACGGCTTCGACGGACGAGCTCGTGAGCTAAGGACCCTACATGAAGCACTGCGTCTTGGTAATTTACGGCACAACAGTTGGTGTTTTGTTGACTGATGTCATGACCTCTATCAGCTGATGCACAGTGGCTTTGTCAACTGCTGCCGCCAAACATAACCGTTAAAGGGTATCTTTCATGCATATTACCCGCTGTATCTAAAATTGCTGATTAGTTCCCGCTCATATGATATTCACATGCACTCTCGAATTTCAACGTAAGGTAATGGAGTCGTCACCTATTGACTCACACACCAAACAATCCTATCTATCTCCCCGTGCTGCCTACTGCTTGTTACTGGTGGTGGTGGTGGTGCTGCTGAACAAATGGCCATCTTCGTGAGCATCGTCAGTGCCCGATGCACGACAGACAAAATAGCGTGCCGTGATGTATCTCGACGTGACTATCAGATGCGCGTACATGCCCACAGACATAGACAGCAGCTGCCGAATCGATTGGCCATGACTTTTCTTGCGTTCAATGACAACAGCTTGGCCCTGCCAGCCTCGCAGTCATATGCGATGCGAAAGCTTTTACTATCGACAAATCGGCAACTACAAACAGGCTTCGGTATGGATTGTTTCGATTTACAATTCCTTCATGTGCATCTTCATTCTTTCTCGCCCTCACCGACCACGACGCTGTTGTCTCCAACGCCCGTGCGAAGACCGTCTCCATGATCGCAACACGTGCGTCACTCCACCCCTACAACTTGCCATTTTCCCACAGACCATTTCTCACGCTGCTTCCAGCGCCAACTGCCAGCAAGCGCACATTGTCGTTCGTGTCTACCGCCACTCGCTTGATCGCACGTCCTCTCGTAAACATCAAGACCCGTGCGGTAGATCTGCCAATGCCTTCACGACGAATCTTGCTGACCTTCTCTACAACGGTCGATCGCGACCTATAAACCCACTCAATCTCGTACACACGTCGTCGCAACGCTCATCCGAACATGCGGCGCCTGATCTCCGTGCTCAACATGCGCATCTCCAACTGAGCACCGCTCATGAGGCCCGAGTTCTCCTGCGCACGGCGGATGAGATACGGCAGGACCTCGTGAATGGGGCCATACGGCACGTACTTGAACACCTTGTACGCATTGGCACCCAATGTGTACGAAACGTGGTCACACATGCCGAGTAGCTGCCCAAAGTACACCCCGCCAGTCGCACGGCTGATGCCAATGTCCTGCATCTGCTGCACCGTATTGATCACAGACTGCTCATTGTGCGACGCTACCATAAAGCTGGCCAAGTGGTTGTGGCGCAGCAGCTTTGACACCTGCGCGTCGTAGTTCTCGTGCGTGTCGTCGATTGTGTCGTGGATCGGGTCCTCGTACCCCTTGTCGCGCGCGCGTTTGCGCTCCTGGACCATGTAGGCCCCGCGCACGAGCTTAGCCGCAAAGCGGAACTTCTCGCGACGGGCCCGTTCCAAGTCAATGTCCACACGGTCGTTCGACATCTTGAGGTAGCACTGGAACGTGTTGTAAATCACGTCCGCGCCGTCGCGATTGTGCTTGCGCTGCAGGTTTAGCGTCAAGTGGTCGATCGCCGGCTGCATGTACGTCTGCTCGGCGTCCACCATGAGCTTCACCCCGCGCTCCGACGCGTAGTTGGCCAGCGACTCGAGCCGCGCAATCATATTGCGCAGCTGCGTCTTTTCGTGGTCCGACAGCGGCTCTTCGTCAATAAACTGCGTCAGCGGACCCATTGTCAAGTCCAACGGGTCCAAGAAGCTCACCCAGTCGACATAGTCAATCACGCCGTCGCCCGACGACTGGTCCAGCTCGGCAAACAGCTTCAAAATCTCCTCTTCGTCCGCATCGACGCCAGCGTTCCGCAGCCCGGCGCTCAGCGTCGGGTAGTCAATCATGCGCTCGAGGTAGCGCGACTTGGCGCGCGACAGGTTCGGCCCGTCCAGCGTGTGGAACAGCAGCTGCGCCTGCACAATGATCGCCGACATGCGCATGAGCAGCTCGGGCTTGCCGAGCGCCGTGCACTTGATGGCCACGAACGCCGGCTCGCCGGCCGACGCGGCTTCGCTGGCGTCGCTGATCGCGTGGCGCGAGATGGCCGCGTTCGCGTCGCACGCGGCTTCGCCGTCGTACGCGTACGTGCGCGCCGAGACCAAGTTCTGGTCCACGCCGTTGAGGTCGCGCGGCTGCTCGACGTCGGCTTCGGCCGCAAAGTCCAAGATCGCGCCAATGCCGGCGGCCTCGAGCTTGCGGATCACGGGGCGGATCTCGTTCACGTCTTCGCCCGCGCAAAAGTGGCCAAAGAACGTCGCGCGCAGCAGTGCGTCGGTGAACGCTGCGCCAGGGAACGTGTACGAGAGCTCGAGCAGCTCACCGCTGTGCTGCACGAGCGGGCGGAACTGCGACAGGTAGTACACGCCGTAGGCGCGCACGAGCTCGACCGTGCTCTTGCTCGCGAAAATGCGCTTCGTGTCTTGGAACTCGGTGGCGAGCGACGACGAGCCGATCGGGGCCGCGGATGCCGATGCGGCGGCGGCCGTGCGCGGACTGGGGGGCGACGCGGACGTGGACGTCGAGAGCGCTGCCGCAAAGCGGGGCGTCTGGCGATAGAGCGGCTGGCCACGGAGCGCAGAGGTGGCCGCGAGTCGCGAGACGTGGCGAAGCATGTGGTTTCCTTTTTGGGGCGACGACTGGCCAGCGGAAAGGGAAAGGGAAATAGAAAGGGAAACGGAAACAGAAAGGGAAAGGGAAACTTTCTTCGACCCGCTTGGGCTCGGCGAGGCAAGTTGCGGAATGAGCGAGAATCGAATCGAAACAGTGCATCTCGCGCGACTCGATCGATCGATCCGCGCGCGAACAATCGTCTGGTCGTTTTCTGTGTATTCTTTTCGGGCCACGCAGGTCCTCTCTCCTCGATTGTCTTTTCTTTCACACTGCTGCTGCTGCTGCCGCATGTTGCGTCGAGCGACAAGGCGTTCGCGCGCCGGTTCGGTTGCTAGCTCAAGTTCAAGGTGCAAAGAAAGACCAGCTCCGATCGAAGCGCGCGTCTTGTCAAACCGCCTCAGCCTCTCTTACAGCCTCTTTCCAGCCGAGCGGTCGTTCAGGACAGTTTCGACGTGGTCCACACACAAACACACCACACGCCCCACGTCGAACGCGACTGACTGGACGAGTCGCATTGGCGATCCACAAACGGCCCACACGCGACAGACGACGAGTTCCGATCCTCTTGCGTTGCGATCATGTCGACGGCAGACGTGGATCTCGACGCGCTGCGAGCGTCCGTGACGCGTCAAGGAGCGCACGTGCGGGAGCTCAAGCAGAAAGGCGCAGCGGCGGAGCTTGTCCAGGCCGCAGTCGAGGGGCTCAAGAAGCTCAAGCTCGAGCTCGAGACGCAGACGACGTTGCAAGGCCCTGCGCGGGACGGACTGAGCTCGTTGGATAAAAAGGCGCTGGACGACGTGCTATTGCGCAAGATGTTTATCGTGCCGAGTTTCGAGATCTACGGCGGCGTCGGCGGCTTTTACGACTTTGGCCCGCCGGCCTGTGCGCTCAAGAGCAATCTCCTGCAGTTCTGGCGCCGCCACTTTGTGTTTGCCGACAAGTTGCTGGAGGTGGAGTGCACGAACCTCATGCCGGAGGTGGTGCTCAAGACGTCGGGCCACGTCGACCGGTTCACGGACCTTATGGTGAAATGCACCAAGTCGGGCGAGTGCTATCGTGCTGATAAGCTGCTGGAAGACCATGTCGAGAACTTTCTCGACAAGCACCCGGACCTGAGCACAGACGAGCGGGAGAAGCACGAGCTGCGTGCGACGATGGCAGAGTCGTATTCGCCCGAAGAGATTCACGCTGTGTTTCAGGAGTATGGGATCAAGGCTCCTGGCACTGGCGCCGATCTGAGCTTTCCCATTCCGTTCAACCTCATGTTCAAGTGTGCCATTGGCCCGGAAGGCGGCATGGTGGGGTACTTGCGACCTGAGACGGCGCAGGGCATTTTTCTAAACTTCCGTCGTCTATTGGAGTACAACGCCGGCAAAGTGCCTTTCGGCTGCGCACAGATTGGGAGCGCCTTCCGGAATGAAATCTCGCCGCGTGCTGGACTCCTCCGTGTGCGTGAGTTCCAGCAGGCTGAGATTGAGTTTTTCGTCAACCCGAAAGATAAGAGCCACGCCAAGTTTGCGACCGTGAAGGATTTGGAGCTGCCTCTACTGACCCGAACGAACCAGCTTACTCACGGCAAGGCTGTTCAGATGACGTGCGGCGACGCTGTCAGCGAAAGTGTCATCGCCAACGAGAGCCTGGCGTACTACCTTGCGCGCACGTACCTGTTCTGCGAGGCCATTGGCATTGACATGAAGCGTCTGCGTTTCCGTCAGCACTTGAAGACGGAGATGGCGCACTACGCTGCTGACTGCTGGGACTTGGAGATCAAGCTGAGCTCCGGCTGGGTAGAGTGCGCTGGCCATGCTGACCGCTCGTGCTATGACCTCTCGGTGCACGCAAAGAAAAGTAAAGTAGAGATGGTCGGCACGCACAAGTTTGACAAGCCGGAGAAGCGGCAGATTGTAGAGATCAAGCCGAACAAGGGCAAGATGGGTCGCACGTTCAAGTCGGACGTGGCTACGATCTTGGAAGCGCTCGAGGGCTTGAGAGACGATGTGGCGCGCGCGCAGGCTTTCGAAGAAGAACTGGCCGCGAAGGGCGAAGCGACGCTGGGCCCGCTGTGCGACGGCAAGGAGTTTCGACTGCAGCGCGACATGGTGTCTATCAAGGTGGTGGAGAAGATGGTGAGCGAGGAGAAGTTTGTTCCATCAGTGATCGAGCCTTCGTTTGGCATTGGCCGTCTGCTGACTGCTGTCTTCGAGCACAATTTCTCGACGCGCGAAGGTGACGAGAAGCGCGGCGTGATGTCGTTCTCGCCTCTCATTGCGCCGATTAAAGTGTCGGTGCTGCCTCTGAGCAACAACTCGGCGTTCGATCCATTTGTTGCCGAACTCGAGCAGGCGTTTATCAACACGGGTCTGGAGTGTAAAGTGGACACGTCAAGCGTGGCGATCGGTCGCAAGTACGCCCGCGCGGACGAGCTCGGCATTCCATTCGGGGTCACGATCGACTTTGAGACGGTCACGGACCGTGCCGTGACGCTGCGCGAGCGCGACTCGACGGCACAGGTGCGGATTCCGATCGATGTTGTTGGCACCGAGGTGAGCGAGCTGGTGAATGGCTCGACTTCGTGGGAGCTCCTGGTTGAGCGTTATCCGAAGGTCGTGGCTGCTGGCGAGTAAGAAGCAGCAGCAGTAGTAGTGGTTGGTCGAACTGGTGCGTTAGCAGCAGAAGTTGACGTGGAAGCACGAGCAGAGGCAGGAGTCGATGCAAAAAGTATCTTGTCTACTAACGCATGGTCCAGCGTTTGTTACAAAGTGTCAAGTGCTAACGAACACGTGAGTCTTAACGCTCGTGAACCTATGCTAACGCATCGCTGTCGAACATCCTCACACCAGTCTCACGTGCGCACGACGCCGGATTCTTCCCTACTGCTGAGATTGGCCCGGCGTTGTCGCACGTGGACGTCGACGAGGCTGCAGCACGGAGCAGCTCTCAACATTTGAGCCTAAAATGTTTAGACGAGACTTCGTCACCGTACAGATCCGGCTCTATGAGGTGCAAGTGGGGCTCAATGTAAACATTTGCGAGAAAAAAGTTTAGACGGATGGGTTGGAGATACGACCGACACAGTTTCTCACGTCAGGCGGACCGACGCCTTTGGTCGCGGGTGAGCCTACTACAAGCGGTGACAGCTCTAGCGACGTCGGAAGACGACCACGACGTCGCCAAGTGCATTGCGAGTAACGCACTTTTCTGCACGGATATAAACAGAACTGCTCGACTGCTGTGCTTTGTACGTCCTGCAGTGTGCGTTTCGCGCGCAGATAGAAATAGGCGCAGTGACGGAGCAGACAAATTAAACACTTCCGTCTACACGACACAAGCGTCGTGGGGCATGCGAGAAGCTGCTTAGTCAGGCTGCAATGATGACGGCGCTACAAATTAGCTAAACCAAGAGAGGCATGATAGACTGGGTACCTTCCACTTTCGTGCAGCTTGAGCGAGAAAATCAGATGTCATTAGCAACATCCTTTTCACACAACGGACTTGCACTATCTGAGTGTAGAAGGAGGAACCCACTCTCTCGAGCCGCGTCGACGACCAGTCAATCAGATTCATGGCCCACTCTCGTCCAGACCACTTAGAGCCGGACCGGGTATCCTCGACCATATGCTAGGACTACTCGATCACTGGCACGTGATCAGCTTTCCAGAAGGCTTCTCATTACCTAACAAGGCGTTAGAGCTGGGCGCACGAAGCGCCGTTTGGCAGACGCTGGTCCCGATATGATGCAGGAACACATCAATGCCAAGACGCGAGTGACCATAGAAAGCGTTTCCACAGAAGTGAAACGCGTTGTTCGGTGTTTACAAAGCGGATGCGTGTGATTGCGCACACACCGAATTGCGTGCCAATAACTGCAACGATCGACATGCGCGGTGAACGAGGTATACCTGGTCTTGAGAGCAAGCATTGCGTGCGGCATAGTCATTCTAGCTATGGTGCCGATGCAATGTGCCTCAATCGTGGAGTCAGGTATTATGCTGCCCACGTCGCTTGGCATTTGTTAATAGTTCGGCCAACAACTCGGGCTTGGGCTCTGTTGGATGTCCGTTCATTGACGTCATTCCCAGATATGGCCTCGTCGTGGTGACAGCCGTCTATCTATCGCTACTACATGACGAGTCGTTGTAGCCGACCAGCCTGGCCATTCACGGTCTAGTTTGCACATATGGCACATCGTAGCTGCCCGAATGGGCCCGTCGGCACGTACTCACAAATATACCTCGTTATGTATTTCCCTTCTTCCATTACAATACATTGATGTCTGCAGGTCCTTAGTGTCTGCAAGTCCCTCTATCAAACTACGGCTTCAGCTGAAGCGACATATTGGGCAGCCAATGTTGCTCGCCTGTTCTGGCTCTTCTTTCGATTTCAACATGTCGATTGTGCTCACGCTTGATTCAGCTTCAACAGTGTCAGCCGACAAGCAGCTTGCTGATGTTAGCGTCAACGAAAAGGACCACATATCCTAAATTTTGCCGACACGCAACTTGTAGATGCTGGCGTCAATGGACAGGACCACGTATCATAACTTTCCTGCAATCTGGGATACAATGTTCGTCAGAGGCAATACAGCATTGGGCAATAGGGTAAGATGTGACGACATGGTCGATTGGCATTGGTGAAGTGCGGCAGACTGAGCCCCTGCCATGGCTTTGACATTTATCGAAATAAGTCGATGTCAAAGTCACATTTGCGGGTGCCATTTATCAGCATTACAGTTATAATAATATTCTTGATGTTACAATAGCGAATAGAGTGTGGCTGTCACTTAAGCGAATAGCAAGTTGCTTTGTCACCTTCACCAATAGTTAGCTGCTGTAACCAAAACAAATAGCGTGTTGCTTTATTATGGCAAATAGGAATGATTTTAGAAAATAAACCGAGTTGTTAAATTATTTATACATTACGTCTTCAAAATAAAGCTTACATACCACATCCTCAAGCAGCATTATCGCATTTACGGCGTATCATGTACGTACAAATGTGCGCATACTTAGATCATTCAATGGTGTCCACATATATCTTCCTCAACCCCTCGGCTACTCATATATTAGAGAGACCAGGCAACAGTCATTTTGCTAGAGTAGAAGGGACATTAACCGACTGTACATTGCCTTACATGTCGCCCATCTTCCCTCGTCAAGGCCACATGGAGAGGCTAAATACATCGGCCATTATTGCTTAACACAACAGCGCTATCCATTAGACTGAATGTTTATATGAAAACAGCGGGAGTTCATTCAGGCCACATCAATTCGAACATTACACGATAAGCTAAGTAGAAATGCACCTGTAACATAGCCACGTCAATTTAATATAAATTACAGAATATTAGAAGTGAAGTCGCGCCTTAACATTAAAACGTGTCCTAGGTTGTGAAAAACGGGATTTTGTTATGGCGCAGGAGGAAGCTGACGCCATGACAATGGTACCTGGAGCATCAACGGAGAAGCTACGGTCTGAAATGGCTGAAATGACTTCAGCTGTGTGCAGTGTCGAGGGCCACGCAACGCTGGAAATTCGTTACAGTGTGAGCTGTGACAGCATCTGGGATGTTCTGATGGTGATGAACGCATTATCCGCTTGAAAAAGCTCAATCAGAGCACGAGACGGACATCGGCGCTGGTGGTGACCAGGTCTGCGGCAGTGACTGCATTTTTACCGCCACAATGCCGCTCAGTAACCTCGAACCCCGACGGATTGCGCTTTGTAGTTTTCTAGTGTGACCGCTTGCGAGACGTCGTTTTAGGGCTGAATAGAGGCGGAGTACAAGAAACATCATCATCGGGGATGTTGTCGTCGTCGAGATAATCTAGATGCCATTGATTTGCGAAATCGCTAAATTCGGTGGGTCTTTTTAGGTCGATGTGTTCGCAGATGACGTGCGCGAAGGGTTCTTGAGCAGCACCAGCGAGTGATAGAAAATTTTGCGACGAAGATTCCAAAATATCCCGCCAGGTAAGTTTGTGAGTACCCCGACTCTCTCCTTTGCCATCGATTCACCAATAAAGTGTAATTATGATCAATACCTCCGAAAATTCGTCTATAGACGTCGAGAAGCGTGCCGCTTGCGCTGTTAAGATTACGCTTGAAATTCTCGTAGTACTCTCCTTTAACTCTCGAGGTGACATTCTGATAGATGCCAATTTATGGCGGAGAGAGCTTGTTATTGTTGAGGTACGCGATAGTGTTGGTGACCTGTTATAAAATAAGTTAAAGTTTATTCCTGTATGTTTAATAAATTCAGTATCAAAAGAAAATAATTACACACCGCAATCGTAGGTAGCTGCTGCCAAAGCTCCATATAAGTTTCTTCTATAGGCGCATGAAAAATAGCCTTCCAGTGTGACATGAAGGCTGTCCAGCTCGACTCGCCGGCATCCAAAAAGTTTTGTCTACATCGTGTGATGTTTTTTTTGCGGTGTGAAAGCTGCGTATAATGATCAATGCGTGAGGCCACGTCCCCGCAGTTGCGTTGATCAGTACAAGGTCGCAATTAACGAAAAGATACTTCGGATGTCCCGACACATGTATGCCGATCTAATATATCATCCACTCATTCCACGAATGCTTCACCGTCCATGGATTTAACTGCAGCAGTAAAAATTTGGTTAGTATCCAACAACATGCCGGAGCGGGAGGCTGTGAGCATTCGTCTTGTACATGCAGACAATCTTAACAAAAAGTTTGTGATGACGATATATCAAGTTCATGGTCAGCTCGGGTTGCCAAAACAGGTGTCGAACGTGGTTTTTTCGCTCACTGCAACCGTGGATAAAACATTCTGGTCCTTCATGTGCTGCAGCAGAGCTTCCGTTTGTCATTTTCCATTAATTGCCTTTCTTTTATCCTTTCTAACGATATTGTGGATATCCTTTGCATTCATAGGGACACCCGCCTCCTTAGACTGCTTAAAACTATAATAATCACATACGGACAAATACAACAAATAATGACCTGCTGCATATGACTTCAACATGCACAAATAACCGTGGAGAAGGTCCGTATTGATTCATTTGGACGAACCTAGAATTGATATAGTTAGTGTATCTCGTCGCACGTCGCGCCGCCGGTAGCGCTGAGTGTAATGGTCTTGCTGATACAACGGGAGTGACCGGTGTGGCAGTTGTCCATACAAAACGTCGACCAGGCACTTTCTTCTGGGGCGTACTTGTCATACATGATCACGAGCTCGTATGAACAGCCGACCGTTTTGATCCGCGATCTCGCATTGACGTGTGCCGATAGTGCGATCTCCTATAATGTTTTCCCTGCGAACATGTGAGAATACTGCGCTTGGGACACATCGAACGGCTGCGGGACCCACTAATCACAAAGCGTTTTCGTACGGCGTCTGCTTTATAGCATCTACAGCCGTCTTTTGACTGTCAAAAGGCCCGACCGGTGGAGATTCTTCATCGATCTATGAGAGATTAGCGGCGGCAAGATTCGGTCCAGCATCAACTTGGAACGTAGACTGATTTTCAGTGACGACAGAAATATTATCGTAATCAATGACTGTAGTAGAAGCAGCAGAAGTAGTGGAGGTGGATTAAGGGATCATCATCATGCAATCAACAACGGACAATTTATACTAAACTGACGTGGCTAT